AAAAAAAAAAACCACTTAACAACATAAAATAAACACAAACGGTTACCAACGGCAACAATTTTATTTTCAATCGTTTTTAACCGAGAGAACCGGTTTTTTTCCGGTTATAACTCGAATATTAACGCGAAACAACGACACCCGTACCACAAAGTACGCGGACCGGATTCAAAACGCGATTTTCCGTTGAAAAAAAAAAAAAAAGAAATAAATAAACATCGTTTTAAAACACCGGGGGGCCAAACCGCTAACGGAAATCGGTGTTCAAATGCGTTTGGTAATCGTGAAAATCTCTGGCCGCCTTACAGGAAACCGCACGCAGGATATCTACGGTAATCGTTGGGGGCGGGGGAGGGGGAAATGTCGGTATCCCGGAATCCGGCGTACGCGGTGTCGTTGGGCGACTAACCCGCCCGGCACGGCCGAAGAGAGTTACACGTGCGCGTCGATCGTGAACAACAGATGGCGACTGTACCGATTCTGTAACAACAACAACAACAACAAGGGAATAATTACGCCTACGCAGGCCCGCCTGTCTGCCAGGGATACGGTCGTCACGGACGGAAAACGCCTGGAAAACCGCGTGAGCCTGCCGGACGCGAGAACCGACGGCCGTTAACCGCCGTGTATGTGGAGGGGGGGCGGGGGTGGCGTCGAAAAAAATCCCCGTCAAATATCACACTGTTACCGTTCAAACGGTATTTTACGACGGTTATCTCTTACCTGGCGCTGCGACCCGATCGTGTTGTACCGGCCGTCGCCGTTGTTGCCGGTCATCAGGTCCAGGTCGGAGTTCAGCGATTTGGTCGTCTCGAGCGCCATGGACTTGGCGAACGAGCTCTTGAAGTAGTGGTGCTGTTGACCGCCGTCGGACAGACCGTCGAACGAACCGGACAAATGGTAATAGTGGGTTTTGTCCATTGTGGCCCGGTTTCGCGGTCGCCGGAAAACCACCGGCCGGCTGTGTGCGGGAGAACGGAAGAGAGGAAAAACAAAAAAAAAATTCAAAAAAAAAAAAGGCAGGTCCACTGCCCGAGCGCGGCGCACAACAGTCGTCGACCCTTTCGCAACAATATCGTCGGATGAAATCGCACGGCTACGGCGTTATTTACGGAAACACGGTTTCGGACGTTTTTTTCTTGAAACTAGGCCAGCTGGACCGGGAGAAAAACGCGTCCGGTCCGCCGGGGCTGGAACGCGAGTGGATAAAAATAGTCGCGTGAGACTTCCGCGAACGGCGAGCGGCGGAGGAAAAATCACGCGGCGACACCGACCGGGAACGGCGTAAAAATAAAACGGAAGAAAAAAAAAAAAAAAACGGACGAAAATTCAAAAAATGTCACATGGCACGCACGGCGGACGCACGACTACGGCACGGGAACGCGGTTCTCCCGACGGCGGGCGGACGGGCGAGCGGGCGGGCGGGCGGGCGCGCGCACAAGACCACGGGACGACGGCGACCGACGGCGGACGAGCGACGATAGCGGCGGGGCCGCGGCCGCGGCCGCGCACAATCGCGCCGGGCGACGAAACAATCGCGAGCGATTTCGATTGTCGGCGGCGGCCGGTCGGATTCGATTGTTCCGCGGACGACAGCCGCGAAACCGAATCGCGTCGTCCGGTCGCGCGCCGTGCCGTCCGGCGTTCACCGTTGACCGTGTTGCATTCCCGGTGTCGCGGCGCGCCGAACACGTTCTGCACCCGCGGCGAAACGAATCCGCCCGCTCTGAACGCGGATTTTCACGCCCAATGTTTCGGTAGGCGGCACAGACAGTGCCTGCCGTGCGACCCGCGTTTGCGATATATCCGGCGATTTCGCCGCGGCAGTGTGAGGAGTACCGGTACGGCCGCGATGCAACTAGCGGAGGGTACGCCGCCGCGCGGCCAACACTACGGCCCTGGGCGCTGTAGGCTACCCGTATCCGTGTGCGAGCGCGCTAATCGGCACACGACACTCGGAACCGTGCGGGGCGTCGTCTCCCGACTGGTTAATCTCGATCGCGAGGCGACCGCCCCGGGAGACCTGTTTTGGCACGCCGCCGTCGCGGTGCTGTTGCGGTCCCGGCGCTTTCCGTTTCGTCTACCCGTAATTTCCTGGCGCCCCCGTACGTGCCACGCGCAACCACAGTCGGACGGTATCTCGGTATTTCCGAGCGTAGCGAACGGCGTATCGGTTTTACGGAGGTGTTCAATTTTTGTTTTTTTTTTTTTTTTCTCTCACTCTCGTACTGCGCACAAAAATTCCACCGGAAATCCGACGCCGGAGCGTAGCGCCTTTTCCGCGAAGAAATTTTCCCGGGACGGTACTGCGGGGAGGTCGCGTTTTTCGATTTTCCCGGGAAATCTGGGTGGAACCGCGGCGGATAATACCGGGCAAACGCAATAGACACAATGTCAAAACACGAACGTCATTCTCTTTGACAACATTGCGTTGATAACACGTTGCATATCGCGCAGTTGTGCCGCCGTAACGTGACGCGGAACATGTCGTCGGGCGCCCACGACAATCCGCCCGTTCGATTGGTGTTTTTACGATCGCTTTTAAATTTTTTTTTTATTTTTTTTTCTTGTCATAAAGTATACCTGTAGCCAATAATATTATGATAAAACGGTGAAATCCATAGATTTTCAAATATTTTCGTTACCTATCTATCGGGTCAAACGGGGGGGAGGGGGGGGTTGGGCGGTCAAGTGTTCTTGTGTTATTTCATTTTAGCTCTCGTCATCGATTTCTAGTTGAAAAATAAACGTACCAGCGGGCTCGCCCTGTTGCATACTCACCGGGTAATGAGTATACCAGCCGACGAAATCGTTGAACGGTTCTCTTCTGTGAAAAACCGGCGGTTAGACTGCGTATTGTAAACGTGTAACGCGCATTATGTCATGCTTGTATCCGTGATCGAGTAAAAACCCCCAAATTTACGCAATTGCGTTGAATTTAATTATATTTTGTTGACAAAACGTTCGCAGCCGTGCCGTAACTCTGTCGCGGAATTTTCTACTTTGAAAGCCGGCGAAAATATATTTCACCACCACCACCACCACCACAACCCCCTCCCCCCCCCGTAAGAAAGGCATAGCCACGCCACCGGATTGGATACTCCTCGAGTGTTGTGAAAATGGTGCGCGAACGATGAGCGTGCTTGATAAAATCGCCCCGCACGTTATTTCAAAACGTTTAAACAAAATCAGGCAACGGGGGAAGACACCCCAACACTCTCATACCGCCCCGTTTGACCGGCCCCGGGCCGTTCGAATCCGGACGGGGACGCCGCGGCCGTGAAAGGATATTATTAGCTCGGTAAGGCGACCAGAGAGATATTTATTCAACCCAACCGAACCGATTCTGTAAGCGCGTGACGGGAAATCGGGGGTGGGGGGCAGAGAGAACGAGTGTTCTGGTCGTATGTTTTCCCCGGAGAAAATTCCCCGCGTGTGGCGGTCGGCCGCGGGAAAATAATTGCACCCGGCTTTCCGTGCGGTGCACGCCGCGCGCATTTCGATTCGATTACTGCGACGCGGTGCGCGCACCGTCGATCGTGAGGTAGGCGGTGAAATTGAACGGCCCGGAGTAAAACGCGCGTGCGGTAGGCGCACAATTCGCGGTTTCGCAGTGCACGCGCGCGCGAAAAAGTAGCCGCCGAAAGAGGCGGGGTTGGGGCCGGGGCCCTTGTAAAATGCGTTCGAATCGCCTATCCCCCCCCCTCCACTTTATCGCGAAGCAGGTGCGTGTGCACACACCACGGCTCTGTTAGCGGGGCCGTATTTAGGAATTTGACGCCGGGGGACGACGGAAAAACAAAACAATAAAAAACGCCTCATTATACCGAACGCGAATTTAACGCAATTTAAAAACAATACGTGTATTGTGTATACATATATTAGCCGCCCTCTCGTATTCAGCCGCCCTGCGTAGCTCCCCCGCCCCGCCCCCCTCCCCCCGAATACGGCCCCGACCGTCAGACGTTCAGTGGCTCCCCGCGGGTTTTCCAGTGGCGGTCGACAACAGTTAGCGGCTACAGTTACAGCCTACATTCGCGTTGCTCGGATACCGAATAACTGAACGGATCAGATTCGTTCGAAAAAAACTACGTTAATATTCAATAATAAACGCGGACGGTCTTAAACCGTTTCCTCCGTTGTTTCTTCCGGTTATCGTTGTAACGCGATATAATATTGTCAATTTAAACCCCGGTGTGGAATCCGGAGAATTTTTCTTGCGGGGGGGGAGGGGCATTACTAAAATTATACGCCCGCCCTCCCCACCCCCTCCCGAAACATGCCCAAATTCGATACCGTTTAACCTTATCGGTAAAAACCTCCTCGGTAGCGACGGTGACCGAGCGATGTTTGTACCTACAGAAAAAAAAAAATAATACTTCGAACGGTGTTCGACGAATTCATAACATTGTTGTATTTTAACATGCGTACTGTCGCAACAAACAGATCGAACGCGAAACGCGATAACATTGAAGGCCACAATCGATTGTACGACCGACCGATTTTAACAGCGGTCCGTGGCTACGGACGACGGCGGGCGTACCGCGCGCGCTACCGTAGCGAAACTCGCGGCCCGGCCCGCGGCCTCTGTTTCTCCGGTTTGTCCGCACGAGCGCAGCTCTGTCTGCCCGTCGACCGCGTGCACGAATTCCTTTATCATCTGCTGCTACGGCCGTTATCATTTAATAACATTAAAACCCACTTCAAAAAACCATTATCTCCACTACACGTCTTCTTCGACACTCCGCTCTCACATGAGTAGGTACGTCGAGACTCGAGAGTCGAGTCCTATCTACATATTCGCAATCGGACGTAGGTAGTCTACGACTTACGCCATCGACCGATTAACGATTCGTAGTCGGTACATACTATACGCTACTTACCTACATAACACATGACTTAAATACGTGCTGTGATCCTTTAGTACTTAACGCCTTTTTTTTTTTTTTTCTCTCTCTTTTTCCCTTTTGCTCCCGCCAAAATATTATTCTTGTTTCAACGAAATGAAGTTCGCCGAACATCTTCAGGCTCACATAACACCAGAATGGCGAAAACAATATATCAACTACGAGGTACACACGCGTCCAAAATATTCCCAGACTGTGCGAACCGTAAACGGTTTTGGTAAAAATTATAACTCTTATGGCGTCTGCCCTCTAGGACATGAAAGAAATGTTGTACAAAATCATCGAAGAAGCGCCATCGGCCGAGTCGACGGATCCCGAAAGTTTACATCGGCTGTTTATTCAGTTCGATGAACACTTCTTACAGTACTGCGAAAAGGAATTGTCCAAAATCAATGTGTTTTACAACGGTTTGTACATCGTAATAAAACTTGTCGTATTTTATTTATACTACCTATGGTTTATAACTATTACGTTTTCGTATTTCAGAAAAACTCGCCGAAGCTATGCGTAAGTTTTCCACATTAAAGAGTGAACTGGATTTGCTTTCTTCCACCGCTATCAAAATGAAAGATTATGGTAAAAAATCCGATCCCAACCGATTGAACTTGCCACAGCGTAAAGTACAAGAGCTCAAATTAGCATTCAGCGAGTTTTATTTGAGTTTAATACTATTGCAGAATTATCAAAATTTAAACTACACTGGCTTTAAAAAGATTCTAAAAAAACACGATAAGGTTTGTAAATGTATATGCAATTAATTTAATTGCAGTGTCTTATACAATTTATCTAATTACTTAACATGTAGGTTATACCCGTGAAATAATAACACTATCATTTTATTATCTTTGAACATAACACATTCTTTTGTATTTAAATGAAAAAGAAATATTAAAAATTATATTAATGAATTGATAAGTTGTGGTGTCATTTCCAATAACTTAACTGTAGTTATGTTTTATTGTCTTTTATTAACATTATCATCGAGTTTTTTTTAATTAAGTTAATTTAGCTTGAAATAAAAGTCAATTAGTTATGTTTGTTTATTTTTAGACTGTAGTCTATATTAATAGCAGCATTGTTCAAATGAGTTCTATTGAAATTCAATAATTTGTTATTTTAATGGCCAATTTGTATTTGTTCGAAAACGGATATGGTACCTAGTTATTAGATATTTGTTAACATTTTATTGAGAATTATTATTAATTATGCTATCAGAAATGTTCTGTGCCGACCACAATTATATTAACATTTATTTTTGTTTAGGCAATATAACAGATTTAAATGCATTAGAATATATAAGTACAAATATTAAACCATAAATAAGTATTAAATTAGATTTTTATAATCGAATACAAAGTGTTATTATTGTTATTATTATTATTACTGCTATTATTTGAAAGTCAACAATATCATTATATAATCAATAAATCAAAACTTGCCAAAATTGTTAAATAAAAAATTAGTGTGAATCATATGACATAATTATATAATTGCATAGGTAATTTGTTTCTTTATCTTTTAACCTAATTGACTAAGTAATAAAATTTCCTATTAAACTACTATAATTGATTCAGGTTTTGCTCAACTTAATTTTTGACAGATTATTATTATTAACGAGTATCCTGGGATGATTGAGTTATAATAATTTTAAATTGGTCATTAATTTAGTATAAGCAGACAACATATTTTTATTCGTTTTCATAAAACAAAAAACAAAAAATTGAATAATACAAATTTGAATGGAACTTTTGATAATCAGTAAGTAGGTTTATTACTTAAAAATTATATTTGTATACACATATATTTTTTTTTAAACTGTTATTTTGTAAAAATAATTTAAATTTATGAAATACTCATAATAATCATATAAAATTATCGTGATTTTTTACCAACACAAAATATATTTCTCCATATTTTTGTGCCCAATTCATTTATTTATTTTTAATTTATAAAATAATAAAGAATGGAAGAATGTTATATGTTTGCTAGAACCAAAAATAAGATTTAATACTTAATGATTTTTTTCATTTCAATTATAGTATTATTTAAACAGTTTGATTTACGATTAATAACTATATAGTTTCTACAGACTTTTCTTTTTTAAATCTTGTATGTTCATTATAATATATTGTAAACAAAATTATTTAACCTTTTTTGATGAAACTAATAATTAATTTGTTATTATTTAATTACTTAGTTTGATTTTAATTGTATGACTGAACATAACCACCATATAATAATAACCCTGCAGTTAACCTCTGTCACTTCTCTTGAGAGTTAACATTTTTTACTTGAGAAGTGAAACAAATTGTAATATTGTAGTATTGTTTGATGTTGGATAGACCGTATATATATCTAATTTGGCACTAAATATTTATCAGAATATACTTAACAACCGGTTTTTAATATTGCTACTTATCACATTAACCTGAACAATATTATTATCGCCTTATAACATGTTTATTTGAGTATTGATAAAACTGAAAATATAATTCTAACACTCAATTGTAATGAATACTTAACCTAAACCTTAATCAAAAAATAAGTCTATTACTGTACTGCAAAACATTTGTATTGTGTATTTGTACAAGGGATCCTATTATGACCAATGCGGTATGCGGTATTTTATAGACGCATACTATGCGTGAATGAGTTGAGTTTTATTTTTGAAACTATTACAATATTCTTAATTAATTTTACAAGTTTCTGTGAAGGCTAATAGTGAAACAATAGGTATTCATTGATTTTGACGACTACTGGTATTCTAATTTGATAAAAAAATATTTTAACGCATTATGCATTGTTTGTTTAAATGTTAATTGCAACAATTATTGAAATCAACAATTTCTTTGAACAAATATAAGAATTTCATTTTTCATAGATTATTTTCCTTTAAAATTGCCTTTATTCTTCGACAATATATTTATTCTGTGGCATAGATCTTTATTTAAATACTCAAATAATTAAGATGTATTGTTGAATAAAAAAACCTTAAATATGACACTATAATATAACTTCAATATAACTTTCGTTAAATATTTCTGATATTTATTATATTATAATTATATGTAATATTTAAAATTAAAACTAAAAAACCATCAATATTGTTTAATCAAACATTAATACATTAAAACTATAATCTAGTGTTGGGACACATGTTTGGATTTTTTAAATATTCGGATAACCTTATTGTTATATCCAGGTAATTTATTTCTGCCAAATCCGAATATTTTTGATTATCCGTAATATTCGAATACTTATTTTATTCGGATTTGTATACTTTCAAAGTTTTTCAAGTACTTATGTACTTTTATTTTAATAAACTTATTTATAACCCAAATATTCTTGATTAAATTTTATGAATATTCGATTAATATAAATATCTGAATATTAGATACTTATGTATATTACGTCTGATATCTGAATAAATCCGAATAGGATAACAAAGTATTCATTTCACAATTTTTTCCGTTAGTAATTGTATTTCAAATACAAATGTAATATATTTCTGTTTTAGCTGCTGAACAAAGAAAGTGGTGCAAAGTGGCGTCAAGAACATGTAGAAGTTTCTCATTTTTATATCAATAAAGACATATTGCGGTTAATAAATGAGACAGAACATACAGTTACTCATAATTTAGAATATGGTGATCGCCAAAAAGCCATGAAAAGGCTACGAGTTCCACCTTTAGGTGAAACACAAAGTCCATGGACCACTTTCAAAGTAGGATTGTACTTAGGATGCCTTATTGTTTTGCTTGTTGCAATTTTTATTTCTGGTAATTTTCCCTTTTAAAATTATGGTTGTGTATATAAATTATTTTTTAAAACTGTTTATTTTATTATTTTAGCTACTTTTGAAAAAAATACTAACATAAGACAAGCATTCCGTTTATATCGTGGACCATTCCTAATAATTGAGTTCCTTTTTCTAATTGGCATTAATGTTTATGGATGGCGATCTTCTGGTGTTAATCATGTGTTAATATTTGAGCTTGATCCTAGAAAACATGTTACTGAACAGCATATGTTTGAAATTGCTGGGATTTTAGGGGTTGTCTGTGCTCTTAGTATTCTAGGTTATTTATACTCTGATGCACTGAGTATACCAGCGTATATAAATCCATTGTCTCTTATAATTTTGTTTTCGTTACTTATGATCAATCCTTTCAAAATATTTTACTTTGAAGCAAGATTTTGGTTGTTACGCATAATGGTAAATTATTTTATTTTTTATCTAACATAGAAAGAATTTTATTATTATTTCAATTGATTGCAATAATTTCAAATTATATAGTACCTAAAACAAATGTCACTGACTTTATTTTAGTGGCGTATGGCATGTGCTCCATTTTACTATGTTGGTTTTGCTGACTTTTGGCTTGCAGATCAATTGAATAGTTTAGTTACAGTTTTACTGGATGCTCACTATTTAGTTTGTTTTTACATTTATAATAATAATTGGTATCATACTTCAGGTAAATTAATATTGTTTAGTCCATTGTTTAGTCGTATAATATGTTAATTAAGTACTACGATCATTTCAGATGTTAAATTTAATATTGAAGAATATTTTGTTTCGAAAATGATAGTCAACTGTTTTCCTGCTTGGATTCGTTTTGGTCAATGTATTAGACGTTACAGGGATACTGGAGAATCATTTCCGCATTTAGCTAATGCTGGAAAATATTCAACAACCTTTTTTGTTGTATTTGCTAAAGCATTACTGAAAAGAACAAAAGGTAATCTATATTTATTTTAAAGTTTTATCATAGATATTTTATTTTTTATATAACTCAAGTTTTTTGTTTCTATTCAGATCAATATGTAGATAATTATGACAATCCATTTTTTTACTTTTGGATTACTTGTTGTGTGATAAGTTCAATTTATACTTATACATGGGATGTAAAAATGGACTGGGGTTTATTTAATAAAAATTCCGGAGACTATACATTCTTACGAGAAGAAATTGTATACGATAATACAGTGAGTTTTTATTTATAATTTAATATTTTGTAGATGATTTGTAATATTTAAATTTAGTTATGAGAATAGTTTTAATTTATCGAATAGAAATATTAATATTAATCATTTATTGTAGCATAACTAGTTTATTATCAAGTGTTATTTTAGAAATAATACAACTAAACAATTGTGTAATAATGCAATATTAATGTGAATAAATAAAAATAATAATAATATAATAAATTTAAAAAAATTTTGAAGGATTTTGAACACAAATTTGAATTTATTGAATATTACATACAATAAACATATTTTTGCTTCAAATTTGGCTTTTTGACTCTCATATTAACATCTTTAATTTCATATCGTATAAATATTTTACAACTAATAATTACAGACGTGTTTTTTTTATGAAATTATTTATGTCTTGTGAGTATCTAAAATGAAAAACAATTGTGGTTCATTAATACTTAATTTTAATTTGTATAAAAAAAACTAATATTTACTAAATTATTAAAAATAATTTTGATGCACAAAATTGTATTTTATTATAGAAAACTATGTATCTTACACATAAATTTAAATTAATCAACTGCAAATTAGTTAAATGAATCAAACTACACAATTGTTCAGCCCAAATGAAAGAAGGAACAAATGTACATACATGTTTTATCTTTTTAGGGTTATTATTATTTTGCAATTGTTGAAGATTTAGTGATAAGATTCTTATGGTTTCCACAGCATTTACTTGTAAGTAATGGTATTTTAGGGAATGAAATGGCCGTTTCTTTAATATCGCCACTTGAAGTATTTAGGTAAGTCCTTAACACTTGCATAATATTATATAAATTCAGTTATAACTAATCGATTTATTTTTCTTTTTATTCATTCTTATTTACAGAAGATTTGTTTGGAACTTTTTCCGATTAGAAAATGAACATCTTAACAATTGTGGTAAGTTCCGAGCAGTACGTGATATATCAATAGCACCGATCGATTTCTCCGATTCCGCTCAAATTGTGCGTATGATGGATGAAGAATTAGGTGTGAGCAACAGACGGAAGCGTAAAATTACACAAACAAAAAAGCTCACCAAAGATGATAAATTACAGTTAGTTAGTGAACAACAACAAGAACAATCATATTCTTTGGATTTAACCGAATAAACCAAATAAACAAACGTGGATTGTTTCTACTTCATTATTCCATTAAATTGTATATGAGAATTAAATTGTATTATTCAATATAGAATATGAGCTCAAGTATATTACATTATAAAAATAATATATATATATATATAATATATAGTTGTAAACTATCGAATTTAAATTCATGATTTTAGAATATTATTACTCTAATGAATGCAAACTGCTTAATTTATTACTTAAAAAGGGTACTAAAACGATTTTATAAACTTACATATTGTGATCTCTAGTTTAGTTAAATAGAATTATGTTTTTTAATTCATATTGGTGGTATTAGTATCAACTAAGATTTTATTTTATACATAAAAACTTAAAGCTCCTTTTTTCTTTCTTTCTTTTTTTTTCAATAATGTTAATAGTCAATTAAACATTATAAAAATTTGTTTCACTTTTTTTTTTTTTTTTTTTTTTCCTCTTTTTTTTTTTTTTTGTAAATGTTCCTTTTAAAAGTTTTCCATGAAAGCCATATTACTTACGATTAAGGTACTTAGTTATTTTTAATACATGCATATAATATATTTTATTAAATATACATAAATATATAAATATTTTTTAATAATTGTGAATTTGTAAGAATTTGAGTACTTATAATGTAACTTAATTTGTATTATGTAATCTTAAAATTAGTTTTTATATCACAATATACTTAATTGTTTAAATAAATTTGTTATATTTTATAATTATTGTAGACTATGTATACTTTTTACAATCAAATAAAGTATTTAGAAATGTTGTTATCAATATTTGTTTTTAATCTTTATTGAAAATTTAAAGTGCACCTATAAATATATAAATTGTTTAATTTGTTTAGAACATAGTGCAAACAATTCACAGTCCCAAGTAAATATTATGAATAGGTATTAACTATTATTATCAAGGTCTAACTTTGCGTGTAATACGTAACACCATAACTACACTACTTGAGATCTGTGTGCAAACCAAAATGTTGAGGCTCATTACATATCATTTTCAATAGATACCCTCCTACCATAAAAAAAAAAAATTTTTTTTTTGGAGGGCAGGGAGGTGGGTCTAAAATAAAATAAAATACAATTTGTAAAACCAACAATTTATTCCATAATCTTTAATACCATAGAACTTATAGAAATGTATATTAACAAATTTAACCTTTATAGTCAATACTCTATAGATATTTATACAATATTTTTACTGAATCGAGTTTAAGAACAGTATGGTTATAAAATATGAGGGAGTTTATTGTATTTTTTGGGTCAACAGTTATAATGTGTGGATCATAGTTCCCTGTGGTTTTGTGTCCGATAGGGAAAAATTGTATGTACAAAAGATTGGCTTCACATATTATTATTATTTATTTTTGTTAAAAAATTGTATCTCTATTGTTGAAATTGAATTATTGTATGTATTAAGATCATTTTCGTTTCAGCATATTTATTTTTTTCAGTCTGCTGACTAGTATTGCCTTCCTATAAGTTTTCTCTTATCCCTTTTTACCTTCCATTTTCCTTTTTAATATCTACATGTCTCAGGCTCAGTTCACCACATGTCTGCGATGTGAAGTTTGTTCTAGTTCGTTCTCTTTCCTTTTTCTCTGGTGTAACTCCTTCGAAGACTACTTTTATAAGACTATCATGTCTCATAGTGTAGCCAGAACACTGTAATTTCCTCGCTTTTATGGTGGATATCTATATGATCTTACTTTGTTCATTTACTTGTTGTAATACTTGGCCATTCGATATATACTCTATTCATCTATGTAATATTTTGCATGCATCGATAGCACCACATCAAACGCTTTATCGGTTCGTCTTCACTTTTTGTTGTACGTCCACGTTTCTGCCGTGTTTTCACTAATACCTTCGTCATACATTCAGAATTACCTTACCGGACCCGGCGGACTGTTTTCCTAATCCGCACTTCCTCAGACATCTCTCCGTTTAACGAGACTGCCTACTGCTTTTTGGTTTGTATAAAATATTTTCGATAAAATCGATGATGCCCATCAGGGGTCGGCCATAGTTTCAACATCTGTAATAGGTACCTATTATTTTTTTCCAACTACGTCTACAGTTTTACGTAACAATATTACGTGCAGTTGCGTAATATTTCTAGTATTTGTACCTATGTTTACCTACCTACCTGTTAAAATTGCAGGTATTCCCTTGCTGTTTTGACTATTACTACGCGTAAGAGGTAGGTGGGTGGGTACCTACGCTCACGCCGTGCGCTTCGCTAACTTTATTTAACAATTTACTATGGCAAAAGTCTGTCCGGAAATTTCTTTGAAATTCACAACCTATATCTACAGGTGTAATACCTTTATAACTGATTAATGTTTCCCCCCCCCCAATCCGCATATTTAGTAGGACGGACGTAGTAATGGTCCTGTGTTTCCTCCACTCTTCCCTAATCGTAGCCACTTAACCTACTACACTGTCCGCTTTAGATTTTCAAACGGCCCACCCGTACACTAAAAATTCGATAAATACATTGAACACGTTTCGGCGTTTTCGTGTTTTCAGCAAACTCGTACGAGACGAGATATTATTCCATTTTGAAGTCCGAGTGGAAAGTCTGCTGGGCGTCCGTCAGAACGACAGGCAATCAAATTAATTATCACCCGGTGGCGCGTTCATTCGCACGGCAAAAAGCGCGGAAATTATCACCGGCTTGAAATAATAACGTCGGAAACGCTATTGGCCAAACACAAAAATAAACAACTGTTGAAACACCAATCAACTGTTGCTTCACCACGTGAATACCGCCGGCGGAAAAGCCAACGAGTGCCGCCCGGTAACCGGATGAATATCCACGCGGCGTTTTCTTTTTTCATTTTACGATCTGAGAAATTTTTTCGGAAGAACTCAAAGCCTTCGTACGTTCGTGTCGAGTGTTCCCGTACCAATCACCCGCAACCGCTCGCTGTAATTACACACCGCGATCATACGCGTGTACAATTATTTAAATCGATATAACCGAACATATCCGTTCCGTTAAAACGGCGTCCAATGCTTGCCGAACGCACGTCCCACCGTGTCTTACCTGTTCCTGGCACGTCTGTGTTATCCGCGCACGAAAATCCCGAACACTGTCGTCGTCGTTTTAAATTTCTATTTTTTGTTCTGTTGTTCTTTTTACTAATAAACGCCGAACCCGCAATTTGCGTCCATTATTAAATCGGGCGAATAATATTTACTCGTTCCCTCCCGTAAAACACCTGCAAAACGGTCGCCTTATTTACTCGCCTCGTTGAACGTTCGCTGCTCGCGCCGGCGAATAAAGTTGACGTCAGCGGCGCACACCAGCGGCTATCGTTAAAATCGCCAAAGCGCGAACGGTCCCGTAAAAAAAAAAATGGCCGAAAACGTAAACGGCGCGTTCGAACCGACCCCGGGAACCCGCCGGGAAAACCGCTCGGTCGCGATAAACGGATCACCCCGTAGACACGGGCGTAGGAGGAGGGGGTGGGGGGGTGGGGGGCGGCGGTCTGTAGCCGCGCTACAGGGTGAGTACCCGTAGCGGCTACACCTGCGACGGTATTTATTGGCGGAAATAATTTTCAAGAACGGTATCGTCACGTGCAGGTTATGTCACCGTACCGACGGACAGACGGACGCGGGTGCCCCGTCCACAACAACCGGCCGCGCGCGACACAGTGCCGCAATGATTGGGCAACGGCCGTTTATTAACGATAATTGCCTGCCGGTATAAATCTCGGATACCGGCCCGCGTGACGTATCCCGCCGTGTGCAATCGCGCCATTTAAATGGTATCGTTTTCAGCGCGACACCGGGCCACGTACGCACGTACGCGCGGGTAACGGCCGACGAGACCAATGCATAGGTCATAAATCGTGATAAACGGTTGTGTGGAAAAATGGCCGAGGTAAATTATTGATAATTAATTTTTTTTTCTTACCGCGTATATTACGTATGAACGCATTACAATACCCGAGGAATTCATTACGCGATTTGTTGTTGTTGTTGTTGTTGTGTTTTTTTTTTTCTCTCAAGTGAAACATACCGATTTCACAACGGTATCGTCGGCAACAACTACGCCATCCGCATACCCGCGCGCGATGCTGTACGGGCTTCTTCTCCTTCGCCCTCGTCCCGACTGTTTGCGATCGGCCGTCCCCTCGTCGCGAACTCCCACGTGACCCGATCCCGGGGCTGTCGAACGAGGGGATGGGGAGGGGGGGGAGATTGTCGGACGGACATATCTTCCCCTCGACATCCCATCAATCTCAAATACCCGTTTTTAATGGTACACTGCAGCGCTGTTCGCGCCATTTTTATGACAGTCAACTACGCATGAATTAAAATTTCGATATTTTTCGGGACGTTCGAGGTGTGCCCGTTCCGGGACATGTACCAACTTTGGTTGTTCAAATGAAGAGAACCTACATGTTTCGTTTCGCCGATCAGATGGTTTCGCTGAAAATGCGGATGTATTTCGATCGGAATTTGACGCGAAAAATGTCTCAGCAATTCTATTTTCAATGCCAAAAGAAAATTTAGCCCGCACGGTCCAATACGTGAAATTGTCAAAACTCGCGAAACAGTCGGTATCCGATCCCCACAAAAGGCCTACTATCCTCAGTGTTTAAATTTTAATCGTGAATAATTCGGGGATTTTCGTTCAAATTTCGATTACAATACAACATTTCTAAAAAAAAAAAAAAATTAAAAATCATATGATCGATAATGATCCGCGCTTTAAACCACGCAGAGACAGGTTCTCGTTTGAAAACCATTGTTTTTATCACCGCGGGTTTTTTTTTTTTATTTATTTTTATTTCGTCATGTATACCTATTCCACTTGTGGCGCCGTATTTTGTTACAATCGTGCCTATGGCTTCGAACGGTTTGTTATTATTATTCGTTAATTTTTATTAACGCGACGCCTCTTAAACCCGACTGTTAATTAACACGCATTGAAATGTACAGCGTTCGTGTCTAAATTTAAATTTGCGTACATTA